ATATTAATGGTTAGAATTAAATCACACCAAATAAGTTGGAAAACCACAATCCAATGGTATAAAAACTATACTCCCAATTAGACCACCAAATTGGAAAGTACAACCCAATCCATCAAGTATCAATAATTACATTGCAATCCTATTTAGAAAATGTAGTGCATAGGACCATAAAATAATTTTTATTATATATATATATATATATATATATATATATATATATATATATATATATATATATAAATTTCCAACAGAAGTGTCTTCTTTCTTATAATGCAAAATGCTGGAAGGTTATTCCCTTTGTGCTTGATCCATGTGGATTACAAATTGATAATTATATATATATATATATATATATATATATATATATATATATATATAAATAATTATATTTTAGTGATGATCAAAGGATTGTTAGGTTTCGTTCAACAAAATAACAATTATTGAGTTTTCTTATACTCATGTTGAAGTACTTATTTGAATATGAGTATTTTGTTATATTCTTTCTTTGGATTACATGTAATTTTTTTTTTTCCTAATGAGGATTTGAGTTTGGTTGCTCATGTTATCCAGAGCATTCAATTGTTTTGATTTTCATCTGATTTGCATTTGTTAATTCAATTTTTAAAACATTTTTGCTTAATTTATATAGTATTTGTATGTCAACTTGTTTATATGAGTTTTGGATTGCTATTTTTTCTTTTTTCTTTCTCCATTGTATTTATTTTTTGAAAGTTCGTTCATCTCGAGAAACTTGAGTCCATGAAAGGAAAGTCTTAACAAAAATGTTATAATGTTATAGAAAAAAGAAGTGTCTTCTTTCTTAATTATAATGCAAAATGCTGGAAGGTTATTTTTTTTGTGCTTGATCCATGTGGATTATAAAATGATAATTATATATATATATATATATATATATATATATATATATATATATAAAATTGATTAGAATCTATATTTTAGAATATATCTTAATATACATGCTTTTGAGTTTAAAGCTCAAGAAGCCAAATAAGATATCTTTTGGTGCATAATGATCACTTAAAATATTTGAACGTGAAAATATATAAGAATTGTTCTCTTGAGAGATTTCTACATCGAATGATTATAGATAGAAGTGTGATAAAACTAAAAAAATATTTAATACAAGTAACAAAAACGCAAATTAAAAATAGAAGCTCATTTTTTATATAAATAACATATGAAGATATATTTTCATAGTCCTTGCTTCACATTGAAAAGCATCAAATCAAATAAATTACAATTTATCAACTTAATCACTGATCAAATAATTTTTTTTTTAATTTATTATAATCTTATTAATAACTTGGATTTACACCACGTGCATCTGCATGTGCTCTTTTGCTAGTATGTGTGTGTGTGTGTGTGTGTATATATATATATATATTTGTGTCATAAGGCTTTCAGAGTTTACTGGTCAAAAACTCGTTGTGCATATATAATGGATCAAAAATCCCTCCAAAACATTGTAACGTGGAGTGCACTAATTGTGGTAAACCTAAAGCTTGCTTGGTTTGACACTTTGAAAATAATTTTTTTATTTTTAGAGAATTAAAAATTAGAAGAGTATACAAAAATCCTACTTCATTTAGTTTTAATTTTTGAAAATTATGATACTCCGTTTGGTTGGAGTGAAGGAAAAATGGATGAAAGGGAGAGGGGAAGGGATGAATGAGGCATGCATCCCTAGGAAAGGGAAAGGAAGGTGTCTCTCTCACTTTTTGTTTGGTTAAATGGAATAAAATGGATTTTCTTGTTTGGTTGGAAGGAAGGAAAATAGAGTTTTTATATTCTTTTTACTAATATACCCTTATTATATACAATTATAAATATTAGATATTCATTTCAATTTTTTAAGAAGGTTAGAAATGTAAATTACTTAATAATTGTTAATTATCCTTATTTTCTCTTTCATCTTTTTCCCAATTTTGGATGTATAGAAAATTACAAAGGAAGGAGGGATGACTTCCTCCCACTCTTCCCTTCCCTCCAACCAAACTGAAACTATAGGAGAGAAGAGAAGGCTTAGAAAGCTGGGCAACCGCCATCATCGGCCTCATCGTCGTATGGTAAATGGTAAGGCTTTCGCCTTGGATTAGGAGCTCAGAGAGAGTAGCTGTAAGTACACAACCTTGCTTTTCTTTTATCCCTTCTCTCATCCATTCCTCCTTAATCCCTCCCTCCAATCAAACATAACATTAGTTACAAAAGGTCTGTTATAAAATCGAGAACTATAATTCTCTAAAAACAATTTATATTTTTTGAATTTCTGATAATTATTTTCAAAATTATAAATTAGACAATTCTCTAATGTTTAATGCGTCGGAAACGATTTTGTTCTCTTTTTATCTTTCTCATATGAATGTCGCAAAGTATCCAATGTAGTGAATTTTGTTGGCTTTTTAAAGTGGAGGTTGGGGGTTCAACTACTATGAAAAAGCATACACAATGGATGTGTGAATTATATTTGTTGGAACAAAATAAAAAAGAAGAGCAGCATATATTCACCATGTGGGACTTGAGGGAATAAAATAATCATATTCCAGAAAGCGACAAAATTACATGACTTGAAATCCCTTTTCTTCCTCCTCAATTTTCTCAACGACCAAACAAGAAAGCATGAGGAGCTGAAAAAGACAAAAAAGTTGACTCAACGAGCCTCATGTGAATCATGTTCTCAGTTACATATATATGAGAGATATGACATCCCAACCATCACATATTTTTAGTTGGGTACAAGCATGTCTTTATGGTAGCTTTTAATTTGCAAAATCCCTGCAAATAAATCAATCGGTCACTTATGAACATTAATGCTATCCATCTCCGCTAATTCTTCCTCATTGGCTTCAGACCTCTCCTCATTTTTCTGGCTTTTTTCTTCTTTGCTCTTTCCCCACAAAAAACTATAAAGCCCTCCCACCAGCAGCATAGCAGCGCAAGCACTGCCACAAAATGGAAACAAAAAACCCTTAATTATGATTAATTTATATATATATATATATACACACATGTAACCTTAAATACACCATTGATACAATATCACTGGTGTCATTCTATCAAGAAATAAATACATTGCGACCAGTGACGGATCCAAGAATTTTTTTGAGGGGGACGCGTCGACAAATTTTTTTTTTCAAAAAAATATTGTGACGTGGGGCATTTTAAAAAATTTAGTGGGGGCATTTTTGAAATTTTAACTAAAACTTTAGGTAATAATATAATTTAGAAAAAATCTAGTGGAGAAATAAGTGAGGTAAAAATGTGAAGGGGGGGCATTTAAAAAAATTGAGCCCAGGCATTTTTGAAAATTTAACTAAAACTATAAGTAATAATGTGAATTAGCAAAAATTCACCCCATTAGGTTTGTGCCTGCTTGCGACACCAAACATGGTGTAACACCCAATTAATCATGTCTCACGAGGTGGTGAGTGTCTCGACTGTTATAGTTGAAAACCGGTAATTGAGTTCGTGCCTGATTGCGACATCAGGTATGGTGGAACACTCGATTAGTCATGTCTCACGAGGTGATGAGTGTCAGATATAACAATGCCTACTATTACTTAATTTTATGTCATCACATAAGTAAAAATATATTTATTTCAGTGAGCCATGTTATGATATTTCAAGTGCATTAAAACACTTTTTTTTAAATACAAGCGTTTGTGTATGTATTGTGTATGTATGTGTGTGTGTGTGTGTATATATATATACCTTCCCCAGTGAAGGGTCTCCTTGAAGAATACTGCTGAGAGGATGGAGGTTAAGACAAGTGCTAATGGACTGAATACGGATGTGAATACAGGGCCTTTCTTCTCTACAGCCCAAACTTGTAGCCAAAAGGTAATCCCAGTAACAATCACACCCTGCATTATCCCATTAATTTAATTGTCAATGTAAAGGGATCTAAAAAATCATATATATATATACATATATACACACATGCCAAAATAAACTTGCATGTCTGCATGTATATTATACATGTATCGAAACAAATATATATATATATATATATATATATATATATATATATATATATGGAATATATATGCACAGTGTATAACTTGCTTATGAGTGTATGCCAATGCGTATACATGTAGATTAAATTTATGATGTGATGGGAGCATATAATATTCAAGCACAATAGCCAATAAATGGGCATATAACACAATATGGGTGGAATCGGAAAAGAAATTCATATGTGCCCTTGAGTGGGGAGGCATATCAATATCGAGAGACCATAATGGAAAATCTCCCATTATTTTAATCTACTTTTTAATCGTCATGAGTTGTTGAATCAAGATCCAATGTGATATACATATATAAAATATATATATAATTTGATATACATGGTAATTAAAACTTTAATAACTAACAAAGATACTATATTAAGATAAAATTTAAAAAATAGACTACAAATTTTCAAATAGTTAATGTAGATTAAATTTATGATATGATGGGAGCATATAATATTGGAGCATATAATAATTAAACACAATAGCCAATAAATGGGCATACAACACAATATGGGTGGAATCAAAAAAGAAATTCAAATGTGCCCTTGAGTGGGGAGGCATATCAATATCGAGAGACCATAATGGAAAATCTCCCATTCTTTTAATCTACTCTTTAATCGCCATGAGTTGTTGAATCAAGATTCATGTGATATGCATATATAAAATATATATATAATTTGATATACATGGTGATTGAAACTTTAATAGCTAACAAAGATACTATATTAAGATAAAATCTAAAAAATGAATTACAATTTTTCAAATAGTTAATTAACTTATATCTTAAAATGAATCCCATTATATTTCATACATAGATAGTTACATAGACTCAGTCAAGTAGTATGTTTTTATTTGTCGGGCTAAATACAGTACCTTATTTTTTTAATAGAACATGGCAATTTAATTTTCACAATACAAATAATTAAAACATTCTGATTTTTTTTTTTTTTTTTTCATTTTGTTAATTAATTGGGAATATGCAAATAATAATAATAATTAGGAAATGCATTGATGATGCGTTACTTTGAATTAATTTTTTTTTAATTTTAATTTTAAAACGTTGATTCTATACTTCCAAACATAGTTTGAGAAATAAAAAAAATGTTTAAAAACATAATCGAATTAATGTTAAAATGTACGGAGAAACATACACAATAGAGCAAAGAAATAAGATTCAAACATACACAATAGAGCAAGGAAATAAGATTAACGTCCCATCCAAGCTTCCACAATGATATGTCCCTATCCATGGCAACACTCCAAAGTGCAGATATTATGCAGCAAAAGAAGATTTGCATAGTTGTAAGACGTATTTTTGCTGGATATTGCTTCATAAGAGGACGCTGATAATACAAAAATAAAATAATTAAATTGAAAATATCTTGATCGATTCATTTTATTATGATATATATATTAGATGATTTAAATACTATTAAAGTTACACATTTTAAATACTTTGGAATAGATAATGGTTAACATGATGTCAAATCCTTATAAGTTTCTCCGCTTGGATTGAAGGAAAGGAAACGAACAGAAAGAGAGGGATATTGATTTTCATGTTTAGTTAGGATAGAAAAAAAAGGACAACAAGAGATTTGAAGGAGAATATATAACTTAACCTTCGAATCTCTCCTTTTCTACACTTTTAAATTGAAAATATTTAAAAAGAAATGATAAGGACTTAGGCTCCGTTTGTTTCGACGTAAAATATTTTTTTTTTAAAAATATTCTTTTTTTCTAGGTAAAATATTCTTTTTTTTCTAGGTAAAATATTTTTTTATTTTTACTTTGTCGATATTTGGCAAATGTCTAAGTCGAGGTTAAGGTCGAGTTCATCGGGCGGAATATGTAAAATAACTTGTCGAAAATTGATAGATAAGTTATTTTTGCTAAATTTTAATATTTTTTTTTTCGTAAATATTTTACAACAACCAAACATCAGAAAATAAAAAATATTTTTTGAAAAATATTTTATGTCTAACAAATGGAGCCTAAAAGTAAAACTTTCGTAATGATAATAACCTTAATATTAATTTTATAGAAATGAATTAAGGTCTCATCTTAAAATAATTTATTTTTATTTTTACGCTTTTACTTTTTCCAAACAAGAATGTAGGTCATTAATTTTTTTTTTTCACGTTATTAATGTTAGTCTTGTTAGATGGTGGCGGTGAAGTATTTATGTGTGTGTGTGTGTGTGTGTGTTATAGATAGATAGAGAGAGAGAGAGGTGGGAACCTGCAAAATGAGCCACAAAGACCATGTGAGGATGGATCCAAACATGAGAAGAGCTCCTTTTATCCAATCCTCTTTGGAACTATTATTCTTTGTGGACTCTGAAACTTCCTTCTCAATACCTGAGTAAATAGGAGGCCCCTTAATGAAAGTAAACACCATAGCCCCTGAAAGTCCCACTGCAGAACCAAACACCTTGGCTATTCCATGCCATTGCCTTATGCAAACACTTTCCATCCTGAAATTATTTTCCAAAATCAATCATATATATATATACACACACACACACATACATACATATATATATATATATATATATATATATATATATATATATATATATATATATATATATACCTTAACAAAACAGCCATGATAAAGACCACGGCAGGAATTGCGTTAGTGCTGGCTGTAGCAAATGTTGCAGAGGTGTATTTAATTCCCAAATAGAAGAGATTCATGCTCAGAGCAAGCCTGAAAATATATTTTCATATATACATGAAGGATCGTTAGAATATTAATTTACAATTAAAACTCGTTAAAATTACAAAAGTTTACGAAAAACCAATTGCACATACCCACATAAAGAAGTAAAGAAGATCTTGCAGACTAAATTGCATGATAGTGGAACTTTCTTATTACTGCAAATTCAGAAGAAAAATCATATATAAAGTGTGGGACACCATATATATATGTATATAAAATTAAAATTGGGAAGTGTTTGGGAATGTAATTTAATTATAACCTTTCGAGGAAGAAAGCAAATGGAGCTAAGGCAAATGTAGCGAATCCTTGTCGATAAGCGACAAAAACAGAATGTTTCATTCCTGAATTCATTGATGCCTTGGAGAACAAGGACATGCCTGCATACACAAACTGTATAAATATCATTGCAATAAAAGGCTTATGCTTCTCCATAGCCTCTGTTAACCAAAGTAAAGCCTTCATGTCGCAGTACCGTCTAATATATATCTTGCCCTTGTTCGAGGGAATTATATAGATATTGAGAATATATATATCTTCAATGTACACAAGAGTTATGTTGGTGCTCTTCAATTTATAGAGAAGCCTAGCTTGCATGAATAGTACTACTTTTTGCAAGCCTCTGTGCCATTTTTTTCAACTTTAATTAAGACATTAAAGTGGTAATTAGTATTCATTCCACCTGATGATGATGAATGGAGAATCCACTAATTGGAGAATTGAGTGTCTAAATCAAGGTATAACACCTTTACCATTAAAAAATAAAAATAAAAATAAAATGAAACAAATAAAATAATAAATCAAGGTGTACTTGTACTTTTGGTGTCCATTTCTAAAGTGTACTAGCAACTTTGCAATTGGATCCGGATTCTCTCTCCTTTTCCAAGTGATGAAATAGGAGCTGGAGAGGATTTTGTACCGACCGTTACAACTATCACTTTTCATTGGTCAAATAGTGTTGTAACTTTTCATCTGTCGGATAGTGACTCCCATGCGTAGTAGGATCCGGTGCGAGATCCATCACATTCAACTACACGAGTAATAATAATAAGAAGGAATTATTACACATACATAGAGTGGAGTTATCGATCATTATTTATCATTTTATGAAGTCAAAGTCACGATGTTTCTAAAAAATAGAATTGACTAAAATACTGATGTGAATATGAAAAAATACTATTCATTTACTGAAACTACTCTTACTATTTTTTTGTACCACTTTTGTACATGTAAGTACCACCCTTGGACATATATGTATTACTTTTTGTGCGTGCGGGTACCTTTTTAATGATGAAGTGCACAAAAAGTGGTACGTCCAATGGAGGAACTAGTAATGGGCTAACCTGGGCTATAGCCCAGGTCCAATTGAAAAAATAAATTTAGTACTATTATTCCTATAAGCTCATGTATTACTCTTCTTCTTCCTATCAGCCCAGTCCAATCTATAGTATTTTTATAAATAAAAAGAGTTATAAAATTTACAAAGGTCAAACCTTAAATATGAGTAAGCCTACGAACCATAGACATGCCCAATCATAAAATAAATCATAATAAGGCATAACCCAGTAAATCAAAACACATTATGAGTCTATGGAAGAAGACCTAAACTATTCGTGTGTAAGGCACTAAGGCATAAGTGGATGGATATCATGGATTATTATTGTCCATCCAGTGAAATATTGAATTTTATTTTTGTAAAAAAAAAAAAAAAGGGTTTGTTGATGACTTGATAATTTCTTGTTAAATTGGGTAATTTACTATATAATAGATTAATAACTAGTTAAAAGCGGAGCACATAGGTCTTACTTTCGAATGTGAATTTATTGATAAGGAATATATATATCTTGCATTCTTGTAATTATTTGTTTTAATACTTGTATGAAGTAAACTTTAATGCATTCTTGACTGTGAAAATACGTTAGAGTTTGAAAGTGTAAATGTGTTAAAAGGTTGTAAATTATTGGGTTTAATTGAATAACCAATGCATGATAATTATGTATTTAAAGTATGGATAACACATTAAGCAATCATGGGTTTAATTATTTTTAACCCTTCCTATTTTGCAATCCTGGCTTCGCCCTCGGGAACGTCTATGGGCAAAAGTAGTATTGCAATAGTAAGGATAGTTTAGGCAATTTGATAATGTTTTTTCATGTGATTCTTAGCATTTTGGTCAACTCTACTTTTTCAAAACATCGTGATTTTAATTTTATGAAATGATAAATAAAAGTTAATAACTACATGTACACGTAATAATTCCTGATAATAACAAATCAAGGTATAAAAGGCCATGAAGTAGTGATTTGAATGTGACTACTTGAACTTCCCACGTCAAATTGACGCTAGCAACTTCGCAATTGGACCCGAATTGTCTCCCAGTGATGTAACAAGAGCCGGAGAGGATCTTGCTCACTAGTGTCACTTCTCATTCGCCAAGTGTAGGATCTATTGTGATATCCATCTCATTCAACTACACGAGGTGTGTGATTGCTGATTGGTTCTGTACGACCGAAGGTTTGCACCAAACAATAGAGATAAGAAATCTTTGCCCTAAACGTGTTTAATGCACAATGCCAACTCTTGTTGGTTGATCTTTAGGGACCACGTAATTGGATCTAAGCCGTCCATTTTACTTGCCCAAAAAAATAAAAAATACATGGACTCTTCTTTATACACATAACACCCACGCGTGAGTATGTGTATATGATATGTCCAAAATTTTATCTGAATCATATTTTGACATTTTCATTTATATTTTTTCAATATTTTGAAGTAACATCCTTAGAATAGTGACATGTTAAGAGAAATTATATATAGTTGTATTTCATTATAGTTCATACAAACATTTTGGACATATCATATACACATACGCACACTTTGGGTGTTAGTGCTTGGTTCCCTTGTGTCATTGTTAATTTAATTAGGGGGTTATTTTTTTTTAATAAATTAAGTATTTATTCAGTTAAGTATACTTATAATGAAAACAGTTTCATTTAAAATTTTAATTGAGAAAGACCTCAGTTCACTTATCACTAAACAATGAACAGTTAAACATCAAATGAAACAACATTGCTTCTGAAATTTACCCCCTATTTTTGAATAAAATTACACATCAACCAGATAAATTTTAAGTATTTATAAATTGAGAAGTATTCAATGACGAGTTCAAATTTTCTCTCTTAAAAATTTAATTATTTTAAGTGAAATTTGTGTTTTTAAAATGACTATCAAAATACTAAATTTAAATCAAAATTGAGTAATCAAATAACACATAATTTTTGAATATATATATATATATATATATATATATATATATATATATATATACACCTTTTTCCTTTAGTAAAGTCTCTCTTTCAAACTTTATTAAATTAAAGGGGGGATATTTTTAAAGAATTTGAGGGCTAATTTGGAAATTTAAAGGATCATGAATTGATTCAAATACGGACACATCATATTATGAAAACGTCTAAAACGTTTTCTGGTTATGTCCAATAAAAAAATAAAATATTTAAATTTTAGGGCACTTTCAATCATGTTCGCCTAACATGTATTCAAGTCGTACTCGTATGTTAGACATGTATGAGATCCAAACAGTCTCCATGCTTCCTAGCTCACCCCCTTCACTTAAATGCTTTGCACTTTCTTGCCAGACAAATATGGGATACATGTCATGAGCACTAAGGCACCAAAGACAAATAGGATATCATTTCTAAAAATTTCAACTATATAACAAAATTATATATAAAAAAAAAGGTTCAGTGAATAGGTCCGTTCTGCATGTATTAACATAATTTTAAGTAATATTCCATATATTAATATCTTTAACATAATGATAAAATGGCAAGTGTTGCTTTTGAATTTAATAATAATAAAAAAAAGTTCAGTAGGTAAGTCCGTTCTGCATATATTAACATAATTTTAAGTAATACTCCATATATTAATATCTCTAACGTAATGATAGAATGACAAGTGTTGCTTTTGAATTAAAAAAAAAAGAAAAAAAAAAAAAAACAAAGAAGAAGATTCACGTTTCAAAATTTCTAAAAAAAAACCTTGGGAGTAATATTTTACTTTCCCATTCTAAACAAGTGAGCGTATTGTCACGCCCTGCCTATGGAGGTTGTGCCACGCAGGCGACACGCAGACGCTGAGGAGGACGCTGCATGGCAACTGCATGGCAAGTGGAGTTTCTAGAGTCTTCCGGAATAGTCTAGAGTTATGTGGAAGATTCTAGATATGTGTAGAAATGTGTAGAAGTGTGTGGAAGGTTCTAGAGTTCTCCAGAGTTGTGTGGAGTAGTATGGAGAATTCTAGAATGTTGTAGATACTAGTAGATAAGTATGGAAGTGTGAAGAAGGTGGGAGAAGATTCTAGATAATCAATCTCCACCGTTGGTTAGAATGCATCCTAGCCGTCCATTAGGGATGGGGATGCCTATAAATAGAGGTAGGACTTCATTTTGTAGGGAACAAGTCCTAGAGTGAGTCTTGAGAGCCTTATAGAGAGCTTGAGTGTTAGCCTTATACAAAGCATTCTTTGAAGTAATAGAAGTGTTCTTTCCTTGCCAACTTAAGTGCCTTAGTGTGTGTGAGTGTACAAGCCAAGTGAGGAGAGGGCGAGGGCAACTACAACACTAGTAAGCGCACGAGGGGAGTGTGTTGGCTAAGGTGTGCACGGGAGTTAGGCTGACCAAGTACTTGCGAGAGTGGAAGCAACGTCTTGGTGCCGCACGGGAGCAGCTAGAGTGGTGCTGAAACTCTAAGCCCGTGACAGTATGTTGATTTTCGTTTACTTCACTCTTGTCGGTCTTCCTTCTGCTCTTCGTTTCACAAATTTCATAGTAGTGACAAATTTCACAGCAGTAAGTAGTAGTGAATTTATCACAAATTCAAATACTCGCATTCATATGTAATTTTCTCCAATATTTCAATAAACAACTTGTTAAAGAGATGAATTGAAATCACTCTATTATCTTATAAGAATCTCACTTTTGGAATCACTATAATAATACATATTATATATTTTATAATCTATACAGCTTTGAAATTAGATAGAATTTTGATCTAAGATCAATCTGGATGCATTAATGCCTCAACTACCCTTTTATGCTTGAACCAAGTGTGATTATTCCAAAGTAAAATTTGCATACAAATAGTTTAAAGTTAAAAAATATAAAAGGCAAATTAAGAATGAACAATACAATGTTTTATTTTTGCATGACAAATTTTAACCAAGAGTATTGTACCAAATTGAAAAAAATGATATGGTAAAACATACTATATTTATTACTTTCAGAAAGAACATGAATGTGTTATGAATAATGTAACAAAACTGCATTCTAAGTAAGGGTAGTTTTGGTAAGTTTGTCCAACCAAACAGACCCTAAGTGGATACATGTCATTATATTTTTGCGGGCAAATATTCTTCTTTAATTACTGAAACTATCATTGAATGTAATTGTGTATGCACTTTAAAGAAATTTAAACAAGCTAATGATTTGCCAACTTGACCCAATTCGTGTTTTTGTCTGAACGTAGCCCATATAGGCACAATTTCGGGCCAGACTGAACCTTTACATCTATCTCGATCTATTGGGTTAGACTTCTTATAATTTATAGTTCCAACCATTTTTAACCTACAGTGGGCTCTTCTTGTGAAGAATCAATATGCTTGGGAACCCTGCATGTTGTGATTTGTAACTCATTTTTCAGAATTGCTGAGACAAAAACACACACACAAAATCATATATTATTATATGCCAATTTGTATTTCTCGTGAAATAATCTCGACTAAAATTGATGTCTTTATTAATTTTAATTTTTATAAGTCTAAAATGTAAGAACTAACAAACCACCACAAGTATAAATTTGGTTCATCACGTAAGAGATTGAAAAAGAAACACATACATTAGAATTTTTTATACATATATAGAAAGAAACATTGGTCACATATTGATGCACCTTATACATAGAAAGAAACACATACTACCAGCGATATACATATATTCACACACACCCATACCATATATATATATATATATATATATATATATATATATAAGCCAATTTATTATTAAAGCTAAGCTTAGGCGGTTCCGGTGACACCCAAGTCTGGTTTGTCACCATCTTGACCAGCATCAGCACCGGCACCAAAAACAGGTCCGCCTTGACCAGCAGGATCCTCCACCTTATCTTGGAGTTTCTCAACCTGGATGCCACCCTCGTCCTCCACGGACCGAATATCGGTCCTCGTCTTGTTCTCTCCATCTTTCACCGACTCATATGTCGTTGCTGTAAACGACTCCTTTGGTAACGCTCCCTGTGCTCCTGACATGATCTTTTGCTATTGATTGATTTCCTCCTCTTTGTCACTCTTTTTGTTTCCTCTCCAAGTCTCAATCACTATTGTCTTCCAAAAAAAAAAAGTCTCAATCACTATTGTTTACTCTAAAATGCCACACGTCGCGTTAATTCTCACACATGGCACTATTATGAGGAAACACGTTTATTTATTATTTTGGCTACGTGTCCATCATGCACTCATACTGGTTATAATTGATGTTAAAATGGATAAGGATAATGTATGTGTATTTTCTTTTTCAATAATTCATAAAAGGAAAATAATTCTTACATGTAAGATTTATTTATTTTTTAATTAATCAATTATGTAATAAATAAAGAAGAAGAGCAGACAATTAAAAATTATTTTGTTCGATAATTTATTATAAGTGTTCGATGTAAATACCAGTACTTTTTATAAAAAAAACTTCATATATTTGAAATATTTTTCAATATATTTGATAAATTCTTTCATATTCTGTATATATTTATATACAATCATCTTCTCCTTAATAGACTCGCTGTAAAATCATTCACCTAAAATATCTATATATTTCTACCCTAGTGAAATCTTCTTCAATCACTTATTATTTTTAATCTTTTATATTATTAAAATGAGAATATAGTAAATATTAGAGGAGAAAAATAATATACATGTGGTCGAATTTTTAAATTTTAAAAATTAGTACTTATATGTATTGTAACTTTGTAAGTACTCATTCCATTTCAAATTAAGTGTCCAATTTTTTTTTAATTATCTCAAAATAAGTGTCATATTTAAAAAAATAAATGTACTATTTTTTTTTTTTTTTTTTTTTTTTGTAATATTACTAATTTAACATATTAGTATAATAAAAAATAATAATAATAAAAGTTATTTTTTTTATAAAATTAAATTCTCAAAAGAGATATTTATTTTAAGACGGAGAGAGTTTTTTTTTTTATGATTTTATACACAAATCTATACAATGATGATGTAGTAGTAATTTATTTTTATTTTTTTCCCTAGTTGGCACTCACACACGCATGTCTCTTCTGAGACTTGAACCCCTGATCTCCCTTTGAGAGGTAAGAGACTGATACTGCTAGGCCACTACCCCGTTGATAGTTATTTAATGTTAGATGTCACTTAATAAAAAATTAAACAAACTAAAAAGAAAAAATTTGTCCTATTGTAGCATTGCAAATCAAGTCACTTTATTAGTTTCTCATCAAGTTTCTTTAAGCCATTATTTAATAATTATAAACATATCAGGGCATCATCATATAATAATTTACTATGTTATGATTATATATGCAATAAAATTATAACACAAGTGATGGCTTGTGATATTTGGAGAGAATTTTCAAATTCTTTGGTGTGATGATTAGAAATGAAATTTTCCGCACCATGGTGAGAATTAATGTTGCGTTCTCACATTCTCTCTTTATCTTTGCTTTTTCTTCCCTATCTAAAATTCTGGATATAATCTATATAGATACATATACACACTTAACTATATCTGGGAAAGATTACAGTAATAAGTAAATCAGGTAAAAAGATATATAGTTAATTATGTAATTAAATAAACATAATTAATTGTGTTTTCGCTGAACAAATTAGAAAAGGAGAAGAAATTTAGAACCCTCATACTTTTTCCTCTTGGCCAAACAAGCTACACAATAGGCCAAAGGCATGCACCTAAGGGTACAAAAAGGGCCAGAGGCCCGAAGTCCAGCCCGAGCTCGCAGAGTTTTGGATTTGCCAAGTAAGTAATAGTCTTAGCCCAGACCGGCCCTACAAAAGAGTTGCTTAGCATAGGGTAAGTCTCAGGCCTGTTAAATATATATATGCTTTATTTTATTGAAAAAAAGTATGCAGAAGTTTGAAGGTAGTAAATCAAGCCCAATTCGAATGGTCCATTTGAAAATTCCATCCCAAGCCTGCAGCCCGCTATCCCAAGGCTTTCAGATATATATATATATATATATATATATATATATATATATATATATATATTTGTGTCATAAGGCTTTCAGAGTTTACTGGTCAAAAACTCGTTGTGCTTATATAATGGATCAAAAATCCCTCCAAAACATTGTAATGTGGAGTGCACTAATTGTGGTAAACCTAAGGCTTGCTTTGTTTAACACTTTGAAAATAAATTTTTAATTTTTAGAGAATTAAAAATTAGAAAAGTATACAAAAATCCTACTTCATTTAGTTTTTTTGAAAATTATGATACTCCGTTTGGTTGGAGTGAAGGAAAAATGGATGAAAGGGAGAGGGGGAGGGATGAGTGAGGCATTTCTAGAAAAGGGAAGGTGTCTCTCCCACTTTTTGTTTGGTTGAATGGAATGTAATGAATATTTTTATTTGGTTGGAAGGAAGGAAAATAGAGTTTTTATATTCTTTTCACTAATATACCCTTATTATATACAATTATAAATATTAGATATTCATTTCAAATTTTTAAGAAGGTTAGAAATGTAAATTATTTAATAATTGTTAATTATCCTTATTTTCTCTTTCATATTTTTTCCAATTTATGCGTATAGAAAATTACAAAGGAAGGAGGGGCGGCTTCCTCCCTCTCTTCCCTTCCCTCCTACCAAACTGAAACTATAGGAGAGAAGAGAAGGCTTAGAAACCTGGGCAACCGCCATCATCGGCCTCATCGTCGTATGGTAAATGGTAAGGCTTTCGCCTTGGATTAGGAGCTCAGAGAGAGTAGTTGTAAGTACACAACCTTGCTTTTCTTTTATCCCTTCTCTTATCCATTCCTCCTTAATCTCTCCCTCCAACCAAACATAATATCAGTTATAAAAAGTCTGTTATAAGATCGAGAACTATAAATTTTATAGTTCTCTAAAAACAATTTATATTTTCTGAATTTCTGGTAACTATTTTCAGAATTACAAATTAGACAAATCTCTAATGTTTAATGCATCGGAAATGATTTTGTTCTCCAATACAATATGGACACCTTTTATCTTACTTATATGAATGTCACAAAGTGTCCAATGTAGTGAATTTTGTTGGCCTTTTAAAGTGGAGGTTGTGGGTTCAACTACTATGAAAAAGCTAGCATATACAATGGATGTGTGAATTATAGTTGTTGGAACAAAATAAAAAAAGAAGAGCAGCATATATTCACTATGTGGGACTTGAGGGAATAAAATATAATCATATTCCAGAAAGCGACAAAATTACATGACTTGAAATCCCTTTTCTCCCTCCTCAATTTGCTCAACGACCAAACAGAAAGCATGAGAGAGCTGAAAAAGAAAAAACTAATGTGAATCATGTTCTCAGTTACATAAATATGATAGATATGACATCCCAACCATCGCATATTTTTAGTTGGGTACAAGCATGTCTTTATGGTAGCTTTTAATTTGCAAAATCTCTCCAAATAAATCAATCGGTCACTTATGAACATTAATGCTATCCATCTCCGCTAATACTTCCTCTTTGGCTTCAGATTTCTCCTCATTTTTCTGGCTTTTTTCTTCTTTGCTCTTTCCCCACAAAAAACTATAAAGCCCTCCCACCAGCAGCATAGCACCACAAGCACTGCCACAAAATAGAAACAAAAAACCCTTAAAAATGTGAAGGGGGGTATCACAATGCCTATTAGTACTTACATTTATTTCATCACATAAGTAAAAATACATTTATTTCAGTGAGCCATGGTATGATATTTCAAGTGCATTAAAGCACTTTGTTCTTTAAATACATACAAGTGTTTGTGCATGTATGTGTATGTATGTGTATAGAGATATATATATATATATATATATATATACCTTCCCCAGTGAAGGGTCTCCTTGAAGAATACTGCCGAGAGGATGGCGGTTATGACAAGTGCTAATGGACTGAACACGGATGTGAATACAGGGCCTTTCTTCTCTACAGCCCAAACTTGTAGCCAATAAGTAATCCCGGTAACAATCACACCCTGCATTATTCCATTAATTTAATTGTCAATGTAAAGAGATCTAAAAAAATCATATATATAGTATATACATATATACACGCATGACAAAATAAACTTGCATGTCTGTATGTATATTATACATATATATATATGTATATATATATATATATATATGTTCGCGCGGTTTTTGTTCCCTACGCCGGTCGATGGACTCTTCGCGGGCGTGCCAGAGTATTTGTACAAAATACCCAAAATATGTAATTGAACACCAGCCTATCCCTTTTTCCGATGGCTGACTCTCAAGCGATTGTGTGGGAGAGAGACTAGTAAGAACTCTCAGCAAGGTTCTTTTATGCCTTGTTTGTAGCAAGGACTTTTTAGAGTGTCTAAAGAAATGTAACGGCTGATGAATGTTTGAATGGATGGAATGGCCGAATGAAGACAGGCGGCAAGAACTTAATCGATCGCCGGCCGAACGTGATGGCGAGAACTTAATCAATCGCCATCAGCCAAACACAATGGCAAGAATTTAATCGATCGCCACTGAAACGTGATAGCAAGAATTTAATCAATTGCCATCAGCCAAGTAATGACAAGAATTTAATCAATTGTCACTACGATTCAATGGCAAGAATTTAATCAATTGCCATTGAATTGAAAGCGTAACTAAAATTGCGTAATTAAAATTGGCATAATTGAAATTGAAAGAAAGTAAATGGCTGAATTGAAATAGTTGACAATGATCTAATCAATTGCCATTAAATTGAAATAAAGAAATTGATAGGAAAAAATGACGTAGAGTCAATTGAAAACATTTTTAGTTGAAATGCATGTTTTGTGGTGGTGCTGGACGAATTGGAAATGGAGTACAATACTTCTATTTATAGAAGTTCTATCTCAACTTATTTTCCTAATTAATTGCTAGAAAATCTCTTTTGCTTCAATCATTTTCTTTTGAAATTCAAACTGAGCTACGGCCCAACATTCCTCGCCTTCAATATCGATGCTCCAGTTTCAATGGGAAAGTCTTTACTGAAATCTCTCTTTTCCTTGATTTGCTTTACTTTGTTGCTGAAAATAGGTCGTATTCCAGTAGTCTTTCACGTCTCTTCTCCTCTTGTTTCGTCTTGCTTCAAATAGAATACCTTTGTTGAAGA